TTTAATGTGGAATGCTATGTAATATGCACTTTCATAACTTTGAGAATTATTCTATAATTTACCTTGATTTTAGTACTAGTATGAATCATTAGTCTATGTTAATTTTCTATTTTTTACGAAAAATGTGTGCTTGCTTCAATAAAGTCCGCGCCTCTCCTTTTGGCTTGCGCCTAGGCCCCAAGAGACCTTTAGTGCCTCGGTGTGCCTTGAGCCTTTAAAAGCACTCTCAGATATTGTGGATGTCTTGGTGTCAATATCCGAAGAATCTAAAAAGATCATAATCTCAGCTTAAGAACAATCTCTATCTAAAGTGCAAATGTCCCAAGTCTAGTACTGGCCTCTAGTGTTCACAAGATTTCTACTGTTTACTCTAGAAGAACTTCACTATATCGTGTTTAGGTGCATCTCATTGTTTACACAACCAAACCAAAGTCTGGAGAAAGAAAGTAGGATTGTGGTAATCTGACAGCCAACATAAACTTGTAGGCACACCATATGAACATGGATCCTAAGAATTTTTCAGTTAGGGCATCTCCTACTTGCAACATCAGAGTCTGGGTATTGTGGAAAATGGGCAAGAGTGAGTAAGTGGATGATACATGTATATATATATATATACATAGACACACACACACATATATATATATATATATAGAGAGAGAGAGGATGGGCAAGGATACCATGGTTTCACCCTCTCTCTCTCTATATATTTCTTCTTTTGAAATGATACATTCCAGTTTAAATTTTCCGAATTAAATAAATGCAGCCCAACGAATGGTGAACATAAAATTTGTTATGATAATTCTTAAATGACTTGAAAACAAACAAATAACACAGAAGTAGTAATTTCATCAACCACTGTCATGGCATTAGGCCCAAATTCAATGTAATCATTTTAGCCAAGGAAAATTCTCTTTCCCACAACATCCTCCAAACAAACAAACCAAAAGAAATCAATTGGGCAGGGTCACATAATACATTATTTTGAAATGGTGAATCCAATAGGATTTTTTTATTATTTAAAATATGTATCCAATAGGCAATGTTCCACCATGATTTAAATTGAGATACAATCAAAATGACCAATGGAATTGTATTATTTTGTAGAATCAGAAATTGCTAAGTTTCTGTAACAACCCCTATCCGTAATTAGCAACTAATCCTTATTTAATGATGTTAATGAGAGGATTAAAATAAATTATGTGTTTATTCTGCACTTTGTATGATTTTGGCTTTCTATCTGTTACTTATAGAAATATCTGTTTGGAATTCCACTTTAATAAGTAAATTGAAAGCCTTATCGGCATCCGAAACCGAAATTGACTATACCGATATGTTATTTGGAATTTTTAGAACCATATGGCAAATTTTATTAAAAATTGATTCAGTCTGATTCGTTAAGTTGCGTTTAGCAAGCCTTATGTTCTAATTAATGTATTTTAGCACCATAGCTATATATGTAACCCTTAAGCTCATTTTTTAGCCCAATTCTTTTACCTCTTAGTGCCAAAACTGGTGAAACATTTTAGAGAGTGAGGGAGCACAATTCTAGAGAGAGAAATGAAGAGATTAAGGAGAGATTGGAGGCTATAGCTTGAATTGATCAAAGATTGTGCAAGTACCTAGCTAATTGAAGACTCTAGGTAAGGATTTAAGACTTGGTTATGAGTTTTAACCATCAAGTAAATCATTTCAAGAAGAATTTGTGATTATGTACAAGAGTTGGACCATAGATGACGAATTTAGAGTTAATTCATGCATGCATGTGCATTATCTTACAAATTGAGCATGATTTCCATGAATCCTCTCTTGCATGTTTGAAATTCATCTTCATTTGGGAAAATCATCAAGTTTCAAGTTGTTTTGTGGTATTTGATCATGTTTTGAGAAGTTTGATACAAGAAAAATTCATGCATGTTGTGTTCATAAACATTCTTGAAGTTTAAATTGAAATTGGGAACTTTTGGTAAACCCTTGGGCCATGATTTTATGAAATGATCCTAAATTCTTCATGTTTTACAAGTTTACTATGTTATCTTAAGTTTTGGGGCCCAAGAGATGTGTTTTGAAGGTTGAAATTCGAGTTTTGAGCTTGAAGGTGCAATCTGGAAATTCCAGAATTTGCATCTACGCTCGAGCGTGGGAGTTCACGCTCGAGCGACCAATCTGAGTGCGTGCACTTCGCTCGAGCAACCAAAAGTTCACTCGAGCGTGAATTGCAAGCTCCCAGAAGTTTCATGTCTTTTACAGATCGCTCGAGCAAAGGAATGTGCGCTCGAGCGACCATTCACATTTTGCATGTCCGCTCGAGCGAGGAAAGCTACGCTCGAGCGTGGACCTTATTTTCAAAAATTTTGCCTAAGTGTTCTAAGACATGTTTTGGCATCCTCATTGCATCTTAGGCATTCCTAAGCCTTAATTAAGCTATAGTAATGAGGTTATGGATTAGAAACATACTAAGAAAAGAATGTACTAAGTTCCGAGACTGCAAGTGTGTGTGTTTTAGGCAATGTGATAAGAAAGAATAAGAACCAATGTAATGAAAGCTAAGCCTTAATGGCCACTTGAATGTGTAATGATAGGACATGCTTGTGTTATGTATTTTGTGATTGTAGGTCAAGACTCGAGGATTGATTGACCGCTTACTAGAACCACTGTGAGTAATGTTATTGTAAAGATACATTCATATGAATTACGTTCCCAATGAAATATGATAAGTTCTGATTTTTGAAATGATATCTGTTTTCGTGAACGAATATTCCATGTTTGAAATTTATTATGGCATCCATAGATAGTCCCAAGTCATGGGGGACAGCATAAAAATGCAGGTCCATGACATACATGTGATTACGAAATCTCGTTAGCCACTTCATTGTGGTTATATGTGTTTAATCGATATCTGGAACCGATTACTGTAGTCGGAAGACGTTCTGTGATGTGTTCTATGGGATGTACCATTATTATGTTCTGATATGAAAATGATTATGCTCTAGTTTGTTTTTTGCTTATGATATATTCAGATTTCGTTCACTAACCCCTTTACCTTAATGTTATTCATTGGGCTTTAGCTCATTGTGTGTATATATATGTATAGGTGAGCATTCTGGAGCCCGAGCTTGAAGGCTTCTTGTCTGGACCTGTGTTTTGTTGTCAACCAACCATTGTGCCTCACGTGGAGGTTCCCGAAGTGTCCCGTGTTCAAGTTTTGTTGGTTCTGTGTATATTTATGACTTGATTTAATTCTGTTGGCTGGACTTAAGATACTATAATGTGTGTGGGTATAATGTATGAATGACTATTGCATATGTATATAAAGTTTTTAAACACTCTATTTCATATAAGTCAGCACAGCTCATTGGACAACTATATTTATGTATTTACTTCCGCTAGCCCCTTAATCTTGTTAATCTGTTCAGAGGCCTTCGGTAGTCCAAGGATTACTGGCCGGTTACGATGCTAAACCTATAGGGGCGGATTTGGGTCGTGACAGTTTCAAACAACCAAAGGTGACATTCCGTTACTCCACTCTCAACGAGTTAAAACTTGACATAGAGACAGAATCATCTCTAACGGACCAGAAGATGGAATCAATAGCTGTTAGCTAATTTGAAACAGTACATTAAAACATTAACATATTTTAACTGATCTCTTACAATGATAGAAGTACCCAAAGCGCTCCACTATGATTGAGATTGTCCAAGTAGAAAAGCAAGCACTCGTTGAAAGACGATAACCACCAATGAAAAACCATGACCTTCAAAATATGAATGAGCAACTCTTCTTGTTCTCTAGATTAACCTTGTCCAAATATAGTCATTCTTAACAAAATGAAACACTAGCCAAGTTCAACAGCAATAATCCATCCTTTAAGAATGGGAAGATTTGCCATGGAAGTTTAGAAAAGCCAAATTATAGAAGACTGCATTGCCCAACGAAAATGACTAATTCCGGGTGTACTTGCAATCGGTGAAATGCAATCTTTGAAATGAGAACATGAACTCCACCATCAATGAATCTCAAACCTTTATAATAAAAACAAATGGCTACAATTCAGTGGGTCCTCAACTCGAGCATACACCATGTGTCCTAATCAGCTTTATACTGTCTACAATTGTTGACCTAGCAGTTCCAACAAAACCAAGTGAAGCGCAGCTGCAAACAGCTTCCTCAATGTATAGAAGCATATCAGGTAAATATGGAGGACGATAATTTTTCTTCATTCTATCAAGACTCTTTGAAAGAAACCCAAACTTCATCTCTTTTGCAGCCGCTGCAAGATTCTTTGTAGTTCTTGTCACTAGCTCATCTTTTTCTCTCAAAACATGAAGCTTGAAGGCATCTAAATCTCTTGATAAGTCCTCCAAGTAACTTCCAGTCCAATTACCTTGTGGAAGATCAGTCATCACAAAAATATGAATTGGGAGAGGACTTTCATGTCTTAAAAATTCAATCTTTTGTTATAAACCCAGAAAAGTAGTCTTCCAGTGGTTCTTGAAAACTGCATCCAACAATCTAAGCTGAGCACACAGAAAAGGAGATTTGATTGTCTTGGAAGCAAATTCCTTCCCTGCACTCATGATCTCAGGGACGAATGGGAGGAAGCTTAACTTCTCAATTAACAATTGCATTGTTTGATCTCTCGGAGATTCATGAATATCAATGTATAGCTCAGAACCTTTATATGGTGCAGTGAAAAGACTCCCAAATGCCAAAACAGTGGCCAATTCATCTCTGGAACCGGGTCCAAGCGTTTGATATACATCTCGACGCTTCCCGACATGTGAAATTTTCTTTTTCTTCTTAAGTTGTTCACCAGGCTAGAGTACGAAATTCAGCAATTTCTCCACAATAGAGTACATATGCAAAAAATAGAAAAAAAAACCAATTACAGCCAGAACATAATCTTGAGACCCAAGTATATAAATGCGATTGTGTGTATATCTATTATATTATATAAAGCACACATCTCAAAACAATTTTGAAGCTTTGTCACGCCTTCCCCCCTCCCCCTCCCAGGTATGCCTATACTGTTAACTGGTTCAGTAAATATACCAACTAGTTTTCAAATCCAACCCATTTTACTCATTCATCAATTCGTCAAAAAATTTAGATCTAAAATTGCAAACGCCTTTGTCACACTTCTTTTTCTTCTTCAAGAAACCCATATTGTTAATTGCTCCCATAATAAATGTTTCCAAATTCAACCCATTTTCCTTATTTGTCTAATTGTCAAAAAATTTAGATGTAAAGTTGCAAAAAATTAACAGGACTTAATTAGACCCACAATCAATCTTGAGAAACTGAACAATTCACATCTATACAAAGTTCTATATATAAAGAACGTGTACATATATACATATATATGATCTCAAATTACTTGCCTGCGACTCTGAATGAGCTTAATCGTGTGGTTCCAGACAGAAAAACGAAGCTGGTTGGGACTCAAAACCCTAAATTTAGGGCAACTACTGAGAACAACGGCGTGGTGATCCAGAACCGGAGGGACAATTAGGGTTCGATTGAGTATCGTAACCATCAAAATGGCGTACTTGAACTCAGACAACTGGTTGCTGAACCCACTGTGGGGTGCGTACCAGAGGAATTTCTCTCCAGCTAGGGTTTTCTGTGAGGTGCAGAGGTGGGGGGACTGGGGTTGGGGGGAATTTTTTAGGGTGGAGAGGAGAGAATTGGAAATGTGCTTGGAGGAGAGGAAGAGGAGGAGAGAGATGAGGAGGAAGAGGAGAGAGATTGGGAGGAGATAGGAGGGTGATCTGAGAGGGGATTTCTTCGTCCATCTGATGTGTGTTCTGTTGTTGAAGTTGAGAGATTCCATCACACGCTCTCTCTTGAAAATTACTGGTTTTGATTTCAATCGGTGGTGGTGGTCTAAAAATGGTCTTTTCATTTAGCAGTACTGATCGGTTGTCCAGGAAATATGCAAGAAAATGGAAAGAAATAATTTTTGTAATATGAATTGTTCATATTTTAAGATTTGTTAATTGTATCATATTTGTAAAAAATTAAATTGATCAGATATCAGAAAGCTTGTGTTCGGATCATCGAATTAAAAACTATTTTTAAAAAAATTTAATAAACAGTTTTCTGAACACATGTTTTCTGATATCCGATCAACTTGATTTTTTACAAATATAATATAATTAACAAATCTTAAAATATGAACGGTTCGGATTATCGAAATTGGGCCTAAAAGTAGGCCCAATTACCCAGCAAATAGGAAGTCCAAGAGGGTAGGCAAGGAGGGGATCCTGATTCGGGGACGGGGGGTGGTGGAGTTCTGTTATACATGCCCAAACCAAACCAAACCAAACCAAGCCTTAAGTCCCATCAAATGGGGTTGGCTACATGAATCCTTCTTCTTCGCGCGGCCCTATCAAAGGCCATTTCATTAGTCAAATTAACATATCTCTATTTATAACGCTAGTTAACGTTAATCTAGGCCTACCTCGTCCCCTAACACTTTTATCTACCGTTACAGCATCGCATCTCTTCACTACTACCTCTGTTGGTCTCCGTTGAATATTACCAAACCATCTCAAACGATTCTCTCTCAACTTATCTTCTATCGGTGCTTGTCACGACCCAAACCCGGCCCTATGGGTTTAGTACCGTAACCGGCCAGTAATCCGAGATTACCGAAGGCCTGCTTAACAGTAATACAGTAAAACAGAGTACAGGGCCTGGCGGAAGCCAATACAGTAATTAAACAATGTCCAATGAGCTGTGACAGTCTGTATGCCAAAAAGATTTTTCATGCATTCATACATAAACAGTACAGAAAGCATTCCGTCTGTACAAAACAGTACGGTCTATACAGAATTTACAGTCACTCAGTACAGGGACCTAATCCCTGGTA